ATTTAGGCTGTCATTACCACTATAAACCTAACAGCGTTGAACTTGGTTGGTCTCTTCTAGCCGGTCCGCCATATTTATCTGATCTTGCAATAACTAATTATTGTCTTTTATGATCGCTGTAAAATGAATTAATAGGGAAGCATGCTCTAATGGAGACCATGTTCAAGAGTTCACATCAAAATCAGAGGAATATTATTCAAAAACATATCTAAAAGCTGTATGATAAATGAGGACATCTTATATAAAAGTATAGTATATGTTTGTGTGTTTTTCTGTTTGAGTGGGTGTATATGTGTGTGTGTGTCTAAACTACTCCTCCGCTCCCACTGGTCCGATTTCAATACTCATAGCTCATTCAAAAACCCTAGAAAACTTAATCGCAGATTTTCATTGACCTCAGATTCAGGATTGCCTGGTTATGTGAAGTTATTAGGTTGGTGCAAAAATAATGATTTTGACGTTCAACTTAACATCAAAAAACGACATTATTTTTGCACCAACCTAATAAAAAAATATATAATAAATTATACTATCCATCATCGTTGCTTTCATTGTTCAAGGGCAGTAATTCTTATTTTCCTTTTGTATCCAAAATTTCGGTTCACACTTTATTATAAACTAGTTTAAATAACGCCCTATCGGGCGGCATTTATGTTAACTCCTGTGGTGGAATCTCGACTTGGCTATCATCACAATTGCTAGGGAGGTGCAGATGCGATTGGCATCAATATACTACAGAAGAACTCAAAATTGATCGCTGCATTTAAGAATTGAATTAATGTTTATCTTGCCTTTTAAAAGTTCAGCGATAATTCTTCTGCCGCCACTTAATTTAAAGACGATTTGATGTACATAGGTCCTTATTTTCCGTAAAAACAATTTTTTTTTTATGGGTGACACAACAGAGGACAATTTATAAGATAAAATTTATATAGTGTAAAGATGGGAAAATAGAAATAAGAATTAATTAAACATTCAATATTTGAAGAGTTAGAGAAACATAATAGTTAATTAAGTAAAAACATGTTATGGAATATAATATATTTCTCCATATTTATTATGGGATGTATTTTTTTTCACTCTCCTTGGACGGATCTCAGCGAGTTTGTGATTGGCTACTTAATATGAAGGATGCAATGGTGGACGAGAAACGTCGAGAAATGTCGACCAGTGTACACGGATTGAGGTGTGTACGGTTGAACGCCCAGCACTGACTAATGCATGAGTGCAATGAATGCACTTGCAAGAGCAATGCAGCTGCACTCACGAGCTTACGAGCGACCGGCTAGTAATTGAATAAAATGGAATCGCATTCTATTTCTTGAAGAATAAAACTGAGAAACAAAAATGGAAATTGTTTAAGATTTAAAATTGTATAATTCTTTCATTTATTAGGTTGGTGCAAAAATAATGACTTAATAATGTCGTTTTTTGATGTATTTTTTAACGTCAAAAAGGGACATTATTACGTCATTATTTTTGCACCAACCTAATATATACCAACTTTATTATTTCCGGGCGTGAACGAACATAGATCTATGCATATATCTCTCTTTTGATGATTGAATAACTTTTAACTTCTACGAAACCTCTGTTCGCTTCTTCTGCCATCTATTCACACAAAATCTCACCAGATACGTTTGTCGCTGTTTAACACTTGCTCATCTTTGACTTCAGTATAACCTGTGAGTGTTATATTCTCCAGTCCTTCTTTCCTTATCGTGTTCCCCATGAATTTCAGCTGTCTCTGAACGTAACTATATATAGTTTTTCAAACTAAAGACGGAGCTGTAACAAGACTTTCCTTAAAACTTTCTAATATTTAAAATGTCCTTTTCAGGGTATTCTCGGAAGCCTCTGGTTTCCATAGCATAACGTTTAATCGAAATCTGTACAGGAATTTTCGAGAAGTCTCTGCCAGTTGAGGGATTCGATAATACATAGCAGTTCATCATCCTTTACTTTAGTTCTAAGAGCATTTTCATATCGCTTTATACTTTACTTATTTTCTGGAAAGCTTTTTTCGATATTCCAATGCGTAGTCGGATTTCTGTTCTGTCTCGACTGGTACAATACAACACACACACACACACATATATATATATATATGTGTGTATTGTATTGTACCAGTGTATATATATATATATATATATATATATATATATATATATATATATATATATATATATATATGAAGAAAAATATATTTTAATGTGTCGTATATTTATGGATAAATTGCTCAATATCAGAGATAGAGCGTGTGTAAATATAAAAGTGAACATTGAAGTCAACACTCAGACGCGACAGGCTGTTTAATGCTAGACGCAATCATCAAGAAGCCTGACGATTACGTCTAGCGTGAAACAGCCTCTCACCTCTGAGTGTTGACATCAATATTCACTTTATATATATATAGCTATCTCCAAAAACTTTGTAAAAATAAAAGCATACCGTGATTACAAAAAGGCTGCAAACTTGATGAAAACAATTTTTTTATCGTCGAAATGTTTATGTTATTATGAAGTGCAAAGACGAAAGTAATTTTTTTATCATTTTATTAAATTTTTTTTTTATCATTTCTAGCACGTTCGAAATTTTGGTTAAAAATCTTACTTTTCTTGCCTCTGCAGTTGGGCCAAACATTACTATCCGGATTTTTGGCATCTTTTTTTTTTTGGCGTTAGAAAACACTGTTTTGAAAATTCTTGCAAAAATCAAATAATTGTCAGATTTTAATTAATTTTTCAGGACTCATTCAAAAATGAATTAAATTACTTTTTAAATTTTCTTTTTAGAAAATCCTGGTAAATTATATTTTGTTCCTTTGCATCTTACATTATTTAATTTAACGAAATTTCAATAAATTATAATTTCTTCTCCTTCCTATTTATATTAATTAAAAGCAGGATTACTTGAAGAACGTAAATCATTATTTTTTTTTTGTCCAACAGAAAAATAATTTACCAAAAATCTGCGCTGAATCGTAAAATAAATATGCTATAATCTATGGCATTATTTAATTAGAAAAGATTGTAATTGCTTTTATGAATAATACATATTAAAGACACTAAGAAACAATTGATGAATAATGAATTTTTATATGAATTGTTTTAGTTTTTTTTAATTTTAATTAGAAAAATGTCTTAAGTTTTCAAACTTTTAAAAACTTTGTATGAATTTCAGAATTTTAAATGATATTATTAAGTGAAAACTACCCTTATTAATCATAAATGTAAAAACTTAGTAGAAATCATAAAACACCAACATTTTGGATTTTTTTTTATTTCTGATTATTTTAAGACATTTTTATGTTTATACATTCTTTTTATACATACAAATATTTAAGTAAATGCTCTGTTTTATAATAAACAGTATTAAAAACATTTACCGGCCTGAACGTCCGAGAAATTTTCATAGACATTCAGGCAGGTAAATGTTGTTTAATACTGTTTATTATAAACAGAGCATTTAATTAAATATTTCTATCTATAAAAAGAATGTATAAACATGAAAATGTCTTCAAAATAATAGTCGGACTTTGTCCATTTCATAAAGTGTGACGTCATTTGTTTACATTTGGATACGCCATGAACGGATATGAATTTCCGTGAGAGATTCATGGAAGATTGAAATTTTAAGGCAGTAAATTCGACCTGGCTAACCGAACGCTTCTCTGTGGCCATATCAGTTAAAGGCACGTCAGGTTATATGACGATTCTTTATAGGATACAGGTTCGATTCCTGTCGGAGGACGAATATTTTCTATGAAAGTTTCTCGGATATTCAGGTCGTTTAATACTGTTTATTATAAACGGAGCATTTACTTAAATATTTGTATCTATAAAAAAGAATGTATAAACATAAAAATGTCTTAAAATAATTGTCGGACTTTGTCCATTTCGTTATATTTCTGATTATATAGCTACAAGAGCTGATGAAGATGCTTTTTTTTGCTTTTTTTGAAACCTAGATGATTAATTCAATTTTCTTAGTAATTGATCTTAGAAAATGCTTGTGTATAGTTAACAGTTTATCCATTTATAAAAGTGCCTGGCGCTATGTATGACATCCGTGTGAGGGTCTACAGCTGAGAAAACAATCTAATCTAGTATCATATGTTATTGGAAAAAAAAACTACCCAAAACGCAGTCAATCTTATTTTATCTTTATAATTTTCACATCTTTTAATCTTTATATAGCGCATTCAAGAATAGAGACGGTCCGAAGAATTGTCATGTAAATAGTAATAGAGTAGCCTCAGGCTGGCAAAGTTTGGTCTTTGTGAAAGAGGCTGCAGGCAGGGTGGACAGTATGACATCCTCAGCAGGTCCCCGTAAATGGTTTTGAACTCTATTCAAGGCTGGAACAGTAAAGTTTACGATGCTGTAGACCAGACGTCGCAAGAATATTCCATTTTTAGTCTAGTCTGTCTAGAGTAAACGTAAAGCATGGCAGAATGTGTCAAGCAATTTCTGTAACGATACAATAAGCCTATATTTTTTTTCAGTACCTTCAGCACTTGGTGGTATATATGAGTATATACATGATGCCTGGGGTGAATTTGAGTCCCAATAGACGATAAAAGCGAAGAGAAAACGAAGTCGTTCATCCTGATTAGAGAAAGCTCAATGTCTGATTATCGTTGCGATGAGCTTTTATTTTTTGGTACGTAGACGTTATGAATTTAAGCAGATAGATAGATAGATAGATAGATAGATAGATAGATAGATAGATAGATAGATAGATGTGTATATATATATATATATATATATATATATATAAAAGTGAACATAGAAGTCAACACTTACAGATCTCGAAGTGTTGACTTCTTTATATTCACTATCGAGCTCTATCTCTGATATCGAGCACTTTATCCCATAAATATAGCACACCTTAAGACTATATTTCTTCATATATATATATATATATATATATATATATATATATAGATATAGATAGATAGATAGATAGATAGATAGATGGCGGGTACACATATATACAGAGATATAGATAGATAGAAAGATAGATAGATATAAGATGTGTAGCGCTTTATATATATAGAGATAGATAGATAGATAGATAGATAGATAGATAGATAGATAGATAGATAGATAGATGGTGGTTACACATATATACAGAGATATAGATATATAGGTAGATATAAGATGTGTCGCGCTATATATATATAGATAGATAGATAGATAGATAGATAGATAGATAGATAGATAGATAGATAGAGTTGTATAAATAGATAGATATCTAATGAATAGATGTCGATAGATAATATCTGGCCACTCACATTCGAGGATCCCCGTCTACTAACCAATCTCTATTGCATTCGCTCGCTCAGGGATATTCGCGTGTGTTTAAGACTCACAGTGCCAACCTGTGGTTTATACTTCAACTATACTGAGCAGACCTTTGTTACAGTTTCTGGGAGATAGCGTGTTATCTAGCGTGATCAACAATCTGAACAAGGCAAGTATACTCAAGCCCTCGGCCACGTTGTCCTGTGACTTCGTGCTAGCACTGCTATCTACGAAGGGGTCCGTCTGCCCAATTTCACTTACAAGGCTTGGGTCAACCCGCGGTATAGTTCTCAGGCACTTTCCAAAGTTGTCGCACGTTGGGATGTCCCCTTCCAATCCGTAACATCAGGAAGTTCCTTTCTAACCACTCGGCCACGTACTCATGATTGGTTGATATATATATATATATATATATATATATATATATATATATATATATATAATATAAAATGAAAACACGTACATAGATATATATACATCCATACATTTTTTTAAAGTATTTCACCCCAAGCGTGCAAGGGGTTACAGGGTGTGGGAGCAATAGTAAAGAGGCATGGTAAACGAAAGGAGGATGAGAAGAAAGGGGAAAGATCACGGCATCTGGAGATGTCGATTAACATTACATTTGAATAGTTGGAGATTATAGTTACCAGGGAAACAAATAAGAGGATGGGAGTTCCACAGACAGGAAGTGCGAGGCATGAAGCTATTGGAGTGGAACAGACGGCTACATTTAACCGTTTCGACAGTGAAAGGGTGGGACTGGGTTGCCAGCCTAGTAGCATATGCATGCATCTGAGTTTTATCGACTTAGATAGATAGATAGATAGATAGATAGATAGATAGATAGATAGATAGATATTAACAGAATTAGATAGATAGATAGATAGATAGATAGATAGATAGATAGATAGATAGATAGATAGATAGATAATTAAAAGTAATAGATAGATAGGTAGATATTGAATAGACTGAGATAGATAGATAGATAGATAGATAGATAGATAGATAGATAGATAGATAGATAGATAGATAATTAAAAGTCATAGATAGATAGATAGATAGATAGATAGATAGATAGATAGATAGATAGATAGATAGATAATTAAAAGTCATTGATAGATAGATAGATAGATAGATAGATAGATAGATAGATAGATAGATAGATAATTAAAAGTCATAGATAGATAGATAGGTAGATATTGAATAGACTGAGATAGATAGATAGATAGATAGATAGATAGATAGATAGATAGATAGATAATTAAAAGTAATAGATAGATAGGTAGATATTGAATAGACTGAGATAGATAGATAGATAGATAGATAGATAGATAGATAGATAGATAATTAAAAGTAATAGATAGATAGGTAGATATTGAATAGACTGAGATAGATAGATAGATAGATAGATAGATAGATAGATAGATAGATAGATAGATAGATAGATCCTTACTTGGAATGCAGCGTAAGGCCTACAATCGGCAATACAGTTATCTTACGCTTTCCTTTACCCTTGCCTTCCACTGAAGCTTATGTCGTATATTTCCAAATCTTAGAGAATAGTAAATGCTTCTTCGTATCGATTCCATTGCTTTGAAAAAAAAAACTTGGCTTGAAACAGAAAAGATATCTAAATAGAATATCCGATCATTTTACTGCAGATATGTTTTGTTTTGTTAAAAGTCTCTTTTTTTTTTAAGTGCTTCGTGTCGACATTTTTGAACCGATTCTATTTCTGCAAATTCATGGGGGAATTTTTTAATTATTTATTCCTACAATATTCATCATTCGCATTTATGATTAATCTTGTATCAGTTCAGTTTATGTTCTGTTATTCGTTATTTTAGTAGAATTCTTAGTTGCCAATGAATACAGAATAATAGTTGCCCGACTGTCAGAGAGTTTTATTCGGATTTACTATGAATCCATTTTACAGGTAAAAGTCATGTATGTCATCTCGGCTTCTTTTAATCCGATCAATCTATCAACAGAGTGTTTTATTCGCGTTGACGAGAAACCATTTTACAGGTGCAAATCTTTTAATCCGGCCTTCTGTTAATCCGATCAACATTTCAACAAAGCGTTTTATTTTCATTGACTATGAATTCATTTTACAGATACCAGTCTTGTAAGTCGACCATCTTTTAATTGGACCAGTCTTTGAGGAAAACACTTTATTCACCTTTTA